TCAGAATATAAGTTCAATTTCAAAAGCTCACAAGCTACAGAGATGCAACATGCAAGTATAAAAGTTACTCCATGCCAATAAGAGCTATGAGGTTCAAGTGAACATGAACATATGATAACATAAACATGTAGGTTGTTAGAAACTAAGGAAACAAGATCATCAAGAATCAATTATATAGTTTAATCAATCATCATTTAAAGACTCATAGCAAGGCAACTAATCACAAGCAACCATTAAACTAACAGAACACTAGTATTAACATATTAAACACCATAAAACAACTGTAATATACAGAACATAACTTAGCATGCTTGTAGAATTCAAAGAAACGAACAAAAGAGAAGAATGAGAGAGGTGCTGACCTTTTTGAGAGAAGCATACCAAACGAGAGCTCTTTTCAGTTTCTTAACATCCTAGAAAACCTCAAGTTTAGACCAGCGATTGAATTCATCATAAAGAAAGGAAAACCAGTAAGAACCTAAGGCTTGGAATCCTAAACTTCTCAGTGTTTGTGTGTGTTTTTCTCAGTGTTTAGTGATTGGTTCATAATTTTATTGTGTGATTCGTGATAACATTAAAAGCTTTATTTATTGTGACATTAAGGCTCTAGGGTTTCAACATACTTCAAAATAATAGTGGAAAGTGACGACAGATTGATGATGATAATAAGATTGAGTGAAATTGAAATAGAACAGAGGGAAAATAGCTTGAGGATTTACCTGAGAAGAGAGAAGCTAATTGATGAGGTGAGAAGGACCGTTGGTTAGAACCCTAATACCCAGAGGTCATTGCATTTGACCTCTGGGTGTTGAATATCAACATTCAAGCCAGCTAATGTCCCAGATTCTCCTTTGATTTGAAAAGACAGAGGAGGAGGTATGGCAAGTTGAAGTTTCACCCTCTGGTATGACCTCTTCAAAGAGGGCTTTTGAAATTGAATGTCAAAAAGGAAAAGGAATGATGAGCTTCATAGTGCAGAGACAGAATGGAAGGCCATGCATGCCATGGATTTGAAAAGCCATGGTTTATTTGAAGTTTTATCTCCAGGCCAGGGTTTTTTGAATTTGGGGCTTTGAATTTTAAAGGCCAAATGAGTAAGGATTCAGCGAGAATCCTAGGCAATGAAGGCAAAAGGAACATTTTCTGGGCGATTTGAGACCTTGCACGAATTTGTGCAAGGTTTTCTTGACTGATTAAGGTGATGGGAGTTGAGACAATAGAGAGGAAAGGGGAAACGAGGCGGCCAGATTTTTGAGTGAAATGATTATGGTTTTGGGGGAGTTTGGTCGGTCTCTAGGTTAAAGTTGGGAGATGGAACCTGGGCCGTTAAATCATTAGATCAATGGCACCTGATAAATTGGGGGTTAAAACATTTTAGGGCGGAATTTTGGTGTCTGTTGGATTCCTATAATCCAATGATTAGGATTAAATGGTCAGAGTGAGAGAGACGAGTGGCATGGGGCGCTCTCATTTTCTAAGAGAGAGTGTCACGGATCACCAAGGTGGCAAATGAGATGGGTGTTTGGATTGGGTCATGTCCGAATTGGGCCTTGCATTTGGGCTAGAAACAATTTAAATGGTAGCCACTTTGTAATTAGTTAATGAAGTGCAATCGTAGCCTTTTTGGTCTTAATCACTTTTGAAATTATTTTAAATATAATTAATTATTTTCAATAAAATGTAGTAAAAATTATGATTATTAAATATTACTAATTATTGTAATTAATTAATTATTTGTAAAAATACTTCACTAGGACATTAATTTGAATTATTGAAATAGTATACTAATTAACTATTTTAAGAAGCAATTCATTCAATTAATTATTGAACTTACGCATAGAAATTATTTTAACAACCCTAAAATATATTTGTAATTACATAATACTAATACCAAATGATTAATTTCATAAACTAATACTAAATTAATTTGTAGAAATAGGTATTTATTGATAGAAAATATTTTCAAAACATTCATTGTATGTTATTAAGTATAAATAAATTAATTGTCAAAAGGGAGGGTCAAAATTGGCCGTCAACAGCTGCCCCTCTTTGACCGGAGACGATGATAGAGTTTTTGGGCAAAGAAATTGAACCAAAGCCAATTTTGTCCCAACTTTTAGGAAGGTATAGCAGGAGATGGAAATGGTGAATTGCAAGATTGAATTGAGGAAAATCTAGAAAGATTTGGGAGTATTGGGCCGAATTTTGGGTTTGAATTGCTTACATACCTCGGGCTTAAAGAGGATCAGGTCTTATGTAGCTCTGGAGCAGGGATTTTGGGGAAGCGGCACTCGCAGGAATAGCCCCAGTATCGTATTGCGACGATACGACGAGACGGAAGATTGGTCACTCATGGTAGCTTGAATTTTGTGGCTTGATTTGAATGATTCAAAATTTTGAGCTCGCTGATCGTCTTGAGATAGGATCTTAGGCTCGCTACTGGGTTGGCTATCCCCATAGCATTGTAGTTTGGTCTTCTGCTAAGAAAACGTTTCACGCTGTGGTGTTTGTTCTTGCAAAACAAATGAAATACACACATACCAACATATTGTAATGTAGAATATATTAAGATGTGATGTAAATAATGCAGGAATGATGATGTCTAGCTGCCGGCGAGCTGTTATTTGGGATTGGGATGATGTGATACTTGATCCTGACTCGATTTGTTAGCCGGGCTGTGTACCGTTCTGCAGCTTTCAAAGTATTTGGAAATTGTCTCTGCTTGTTGGGAGAGCTTTGCATTGAGAAATATCTCCGCTTGTCAGGAGAGCTTGATTTGTAAAGTATGTCTCCACTTGTTGGGAGAGCTTTACATTGAAATGTAAAGTATTCTCTGCTCGGGACTGATTGATTAAAATCGTAATCATGCCTAAAGCTGCACGGACAAAATGTTAAAACATTCAAAGTAATAGTAAATGAAATAAAAGCATGCCCAAGAGTTACTCTTGACTGCGAAGCTAGGTTGCGGGCATCTATTGGCAGAACGTTGGTGACAAGGTTTGCAATTGTCTATTCCGGTGTCTGTGATGATGGAGCGGTGCTGCGAATTGCTTTTGTTGGTGAAGTTTGTAGTTTGCTAGATACAAGGCTCCCGTTGGTGAAGCAGATGATCAATTTGTACAAGGTGCTCCGATTGATTGAGCTAGCGGTTTGCTATGTATTGGACTTCGATTGGTGAAGCCGGTGTTCGATTTGTGCAGGATGCTCCGATTGATTGAGCATGTGGTTTGCTATATACAGGACTTCGATTGGTGAAGCCGACGGTCCGTTTTGTACAAGGTGCTCCTTTTAGGTGAGCAGACGGTTTGCTATGTACAAATTTCCGTATCAGATGTCTGATTCCGAGGCACCTGCAGAGTTTTCAAGAGTTAGCTTTAGTTGTACTAGAAACATTTTAGTAAAAGGGGGAGAGATACTCTTAGGAAAGTGGCAGATCCGTCATTTGCCCTAGTGTGGTCCTAGTGCTTCCTTATTCCCTGTTGACCCTGCACTCAAAGAATCTTCTTAGTAGGGGGGGGGGAGGAAGTTGGTTTGTGTCGACCATAGTGTTGATTTGCCTTAGCCTTTGACATGACTGTGCCAGAAAGTTTGGTAGATGGAAAAAGTTAGTGTGTATATATATATATATATATATTTAGAAAACATTTTAAAAATACTTATTTCTTTTAAAGCAAATTTCGTCGTTCCGGATTATGACATGTTACGAAAGGTTCTCCACATGCGAACATATTCCTTTGAGAACTTCATCCTATTGATGCCAATCTTCCATGACGCCTATGACAACGCAGCTACTTGCTGTTGCGACTCCGTCCTAATTAGAACTAATGCATTACAAAGGCTTTCCTAATGTTATGACTGAACCCTTTCAGGTTGCCTACGTATCCAAAATAGAATCAGGTCTGAACGTAGTTCGTGGGATAAATATAAAATATGATGAAAAATGATCGAGCCTAACTCAGGCAGCCTACGTATCTAAAATGGAATCAGATTGAAGCGTAGTTCGATTACAACATATGCAACATAATGAGATTAAGAATGAAAATGGTCGATTCTGACTCAGACAACCTACGTATTCAAGTGGAATCAGTCCAAGACGAAGATCAATTACAAAAGACGACTGAATCCTATAAGGATTGCCTACGCATTCCTTTATGAGGAAATCAAGTCGGCGTAGTTCCTGAACAATATGTAAAAATGATATTTGGTTTTTCTATTACAAGAGAAAGGGGGAGAGAAACTGAATCCTACGTGGGTTGCCTACGTATCCCTCTGTGGGAAGTCAGGTGGAACGTAGTTCTGTTACATCAAAACCCTAGCTATATTTGGCTTCAGACATTGTATCTCTTGATTGCGTCTGAGTTGATAGGCTTCATGCTGACTCTTCCATCCATTTCTGCCAAGATTAGAGCTCCGCCCGACATTGCTCAGTGAACCACGTAAGGAACTTTCCAGTTTGGTGCAAACTTCCCTTTGGCTTCTTCTTGATGTGAAAAACTTTACTTCATAACCAACTGCCCTGGTGTGAATCGGCGAGGCTTCACGCTTTTGTTAAATACACTGGCCATCATGTTCTGATAAAGTGGGACGAGACATACTGCATCCATTCTTCTCTCGTCAATGAGCATGAGTTGTTCCTGCCTGATCTGTATCCACTTTGCGTCATCTAATTTTTCCTCTTGAATGACTCTTCAGGATGGTACTTCGACCTCTGCGAGTATCACCTCTTCAGTGCTATATACCAACGTATATGGTGTTACCCCAGTGGATGTTCTTATTAAAGTTCGATAACCCAGTAGAGCAAAAGGTAGATTTTCGTGCCATTGTCTGTGATTGTCCACTATCTTTCGTAGAATCCTCTTGATATTCTTATTGGCTGCCTCGACTACCCCATTCATTTGCGGTCTGTAGGCTGTGGAATTGTGGGGTATGATTCTAAAATTATCACAGATTTCTCTCATGAGGTCGCTGTTGAGGTTAGCAACATTATCAGTGATGATACGCTACGGTATTCCAAATCGGCAGAAAATGTTGTTTCGGACAAAATCTGCCACTACCTTCTTTGCGACGGCCTTGTAAGTAGATGCCTTAACCCATTTGGTGAAATAGTCGATAGCCACCAAGATGAAACGATGTTTGTTTGATGCTGCAGGCTTTATGGTTCCAATCACGTCCATGCGCCATGAGGCAAATGACCACGGTGAACCCATTACATTTAACTCATTTGGTGGAACCCGTATGAAATCTCTGTGAATCTGGCACTGGTGACACTTCTGCACGTAGCAGATACTGTTACTTTCCATAGTCATCCAAAAGTGTCCAGCTCTCAAAATTTTCTTGGCTAATATGAACCCGTTCATGTGGGGCTCGCACATCTCTGCATGTATTTCTTCCAACAGTCTGGTTGCTTCAGTGGCGTCTACAGATCTCAGCAAACCTATGTTTGGGGTCCTCCTGTATAAGACTTCCCCATTACGGAAGAAGTGGTTTTCCAACCTCCTGCGGGCTTGCTTTTGACCATTTGTTGCATTATTCGGGTATTCTCTGGTTGCAAGGAATCTCTTAATGTCGTGATACCATGGTTTACCATCAGGTTCTTCATCTACATAGAAGCAATAGTCATGTTGATCCCTGATCTCTACCTCTATAGGGTCAATGTAGTTCTTGTTTGGATGCTGAATCATAGATTATAAGGATGCAAGGGCGTCGGCGAACTCGTTCTGAATTTTGGGAACATCCTTGAACTCAATCTTTGTGAACTTCTTGCATAGCTCCTTCACGCAGTGCATGTATGGTGGTATCTTGACTTTCTTGGTGGATCATTTTCTTTGGACTTAGTGTATCAACAAATCTGAATCTCCTATGACCAAAAGTTCTTTAATGTTCATGTCGACTGCCATTTTGATTCCAAGGATGCACGCTTCGTATTCAGCCATATTATTGGTACAATGAAATCTTATCTTTGCCGATGCTGGGTAGTGTTGTCCAGATTCCGAAATCAGGACTTCCCTAATTCCAACTCGTTTGAAATTTGCTGCTCCATCGAAAAACATTCTCCACCTGCAGTATGATTCTACAATATCCTCCCTGGAAAATAGTACTTCTTCATCAATGAAATACGTGGTAAGAGGTTCGTAATCTCCATCCACTGGATTCTCAGCAAGGTGGTCGGTTAAAGCTTGCCCTTGGATAGCCTTATGAGTTATGTACACAATGTCAAATTTGTTGAGGAGAATTTGCCATTTGGCTAGCTTCCTGGTAGGCATTGGCTTATGAAGAATGTACTTGAGCGAGTCGATCCGAGATATCAGATGCATAGTGTATGCGTACATGTAATGCCTTAGATTATGAGCAATCCAAGTCAGGGCACAACAAGTGCGTTCTATCAAGGTATACTTGGCCTCACATGGTGTGAACTTCTTGCTTAAGTAGTAGATGGCCCGCTCATTTCTCCCAGTTTCGTCATGCTGCCCCAACACATACCCAAAGGCGTTGTCTAAGACTAACAAATAGAGCAACAATGGTTTCCCTAGTTCGGGGGGAACCAGCACTGACGGGTTTGAAAGATACTCTTTGATTCTGTCGAAGGCTTTCTGACACTCCCCCGTCCATTTTGTGGCAACATCCCTCTTCAACAGCTTGAAAATGGGTTCACATATTACTGTGGACCGGGCTATGAAACGACTGATATAATTCAGCCTGCCCAGGAGACTCATGACATCTTTCTTGCTCTTTGGTGATGGTAATTCCTGGATAGCCTTTATTTTTGATGGATCCAGTTCTATCCCCTTCCTGCTTACAATGAAACCAAATAGTTTCCCAGCGGGGACTCCGAATGCATACTTGGCTAGGTTCAACTTCAAACTGTACCTTCACAACCATTTGAATAATTTCCTCAAGTCGTCCAAGTGTTCTGAACTATTTCGAGACTTTATGATGACATCATCCATATATACTTCAATCTCCTTATGAATCATGTCGTGAAAGAGGGTCGTCATGGCCCTCATGTAGGTGGCGCCGACATTCTTGAGACCGAACGGTGTAACTCTATAATAGTAGACTCCCCAAGGTGTGGTGAAAGTTGTCTTCTTTGCGTCTTCCTCGTGCACTAAGATTTGATGGTATCATGCGAAAAAATCCACAAATAATTGCAGTTCATGCTTCGCACAATTGTCGATGAGGATGTGGATATTTGGCAGAGGGAAATCATCCTTTGGACTAGCTTTGTTGAGATCGCGGTAGTCCATATATATTTTGATCTTACCATCCTTCTTGTGCACTGGGGCGATGTTTGCCAACCAGCTTGGATAGTTGGTGACCCTTACTACAATGGCTTTTATCTGTTCGGTTAGTTCTTTTTTTATCCTTAGACTTAAATCAGGTTTGAACTTCTTGGGTTTCTGCTTGACCAACGGTCTAGTAGGGTTAGTGGGTAGTCGATGCGAGACAATGTTGGTGCTTAATCCTGGCATGTCATCATAGGACCATGCGAACATGTCGACGTATTGTCGAAGGAGCTCAATCATTTTTTTCCTTCTGCTCGGCTTCTAGGTGAATGCTGATTCTGGTTTCTTTTGCATCTTCTTCGCTTCCATGATTGACCACTTCTGTTTCTTCGATATTGGCCTTCTTCTGACTCTCCAGTTGCTCGATCTCATGCGGGAGATTGTCTAGCATCATACTCTCGTCATATTCCTTGTAATCCGGGTTGTTGTGCTCAGTGGTTTCGTTACATGTCATAATCGTGGAACGCAGTTTTTTATAGGTTTGATTACTTAAAAGAAAAGCTAGGTATAAATAAAGCAGTAAAACAAAGTTGCAATATTTAGGAAAATGATTCTTTTATTTCATTAAAAGGGAACGCCTTCAGCGTTCACAAGAGGCAAATGACAAAAGGGTGCAGACACGGTACATGCCTCAATTGACTGTGCTCTTTTCAATAGAAAACGTTTACAATTCCACACTACCAAGACTCCTAGCGAACCAAAGATGGAATGGCGGTCCAATTTTGTAGCTCTTCCCCTGGTTCGACATCCTTGATAGTCGGTGTCTTGATGTCAGTTCCTTCACATCATTACAATCATATTCATGAACAGCTTTTCCATCCTGTCGATCATATCATCTTCGGGTGTTGAACTATGTCTCAGACTTGCAACATGCTGTGGCACAAAAACCTTTTTCCCGGAGCTAACAGTGCAAGCTTTCCCTTCCGGAGGCTGATATACTATGTCAGCCCTTCCTTTCTGCCCATTGTGTTCAATCGGCTCTCAGATCCCATATGACTTGGATCTCAACCCTGTTCCTAGATTGTATCCATATTTCATCCTCTCCCTAATAGCCATCTCGGACCTATATGGCGATTTCATTCCCAAATTTTGTTCAGTCTTCTCTATCCAGCCCTTCAAGGAATGGGACATCATACTCCAAATAGGCGGAGTGACCCCACTCGCCATGAACCATGATCTCTTGCCATCCCCACTCAAATTTTATGCATCGGTGCAAAGTTAAAGGCATGGCTCCTGCCGTATGTATCCAGGGCTTGCCCAGAAGCAAGTTGTAGGAAGAGGAGATGTCCATCACTTGGAACAACACCGGAAAATCGATCGGCCCGATTTGCAAAGCTAGATAAATTTCTCCAATAACATCCTTTTGTGAACCATCAAAGGCTCTCACCCTTACGTGGCTTTCCTTGACATCCCTCAAATGAATTCCCAACTCCCGTATGGTAGAGAACGGACAAATGTTGGCTCCTGACCCTCCATCGACCAACACCCAGGACACCACTTTGTTCCCACATTTGACAGTGATGTGAAGAGCCTTGTTGTGACTTGCGCCTTCGACATGAAGTTTTTCTCTTCTGAAAGTGATCATGTTTGCTTCGACCATTTACCCAATTATCACGGTTAATGCCTCGCTAGTGTTGTTACTTGGTACACTTACCCCACTTAGTACTTTAAACAAAGCGTCTTTATGACTGTCGAAGCTCATTAATAGATCCATGATAGATATCTGTGCTGGAGTTATCTTCAAATGCTCTTCCACAGAATACTCTTTGCTTGACATTTATTTCCAAAACTCAACAGCTTCTGGGTCTGTTATGTTTCTCCTTGGAATTTGTTCTCTCCCCGGGTTTCCTTGATTGACATCTTTAGGGGCATAACATCTCTTAGACCTAGTCATACCATGGGCTACGATAGAGTCTGTCATTTTGGCCTTTCCCTTTTGTTGGTACGTCCGTGGGACAGTTTTGTACTCCCGATCTTCTTCATCTCGAGTAGCATTGGCAGGTTGCTGCGGATAGGTTTGAACTGTCACTGTAGGACCTAGTTGTACTATAATGATTATAGCCTTTTGAGGAGGGATCCTTGCGGCTTCTGCATTCCCTATGGTGACAATTGTTCCCATTCAGGTCATATTCTTCGTATAATGTGATCATGTTAGCTCCCTAGTTTCGATGATTTGGTAGTGGCTTGCGATCCACATTAAGTGGTGCCGGAGTGCACTGAATGGCTCCGCTATTGATCATGGTTTCAATTTTATTTTTCAACTTGAAACAGTCATTAGTATCCTGCCCGGGTACATTAGAATGATACACGCATCTTTTAGTGGCATCGAAATATTTGGAGGGATGTTCAAGAACCCTTCCCTCGATTGGGTGTATCAATCCTGCTCTTCTTAACCTTTCGAACAATTAGACCAGAGGCTTAGCAATCGGGGTATTAGTTCTGGCACCCCTCTCTTCAAAGTTGGGACGAGGGCATGGTTCATAAACAGGTCGGTTATGATGAGTAGTAGTTTGGACATGAGCATATGGTCGTTGTGGGTTTTGGTTGTTGTTGGCTTGAGGAGGGTTGTATTGTGGTTGAGGGTGGTAATATGGATGGGTATTATAGACTGGAGCATAAGTGGGTGGTGGTGAGTGGTTGTTTGGGGAATAAGAGGTGCTTCCATGAGGTGGGTTAGTTTGGTAGTAAGGGACGACTATTGAGACCTCTTATTTCTTCTTCTTTCCGCTACCTATTGACCCTGACTGGATGGCCTTGTTGGCCGCTTGCAGTGCTATCATGGATTTTACTTTACCAGATTTTATGCCCGCTTCTAAGAAATCTCCCATCTTGACCAGCTCGGGGAACTTTTGACCCATCATTCCCATCATCTTTTTAAAGTATATTCCCTCCTGGGCTCTGATGAAATACTTGGTTAGCTCACTGTCATCCAGCAGAGGTTGTGCCCTAGCAGCTTCTGACCTCCACCGTCGTGCATATTCTTGGAAAGACTCAGATGTTTTTTTTATAGGTTCACCAATTCGAATCGATCAGGAGTGATCTCTGTATTGAATCAAAAATGATTCATGAAGTCCTCCGCCATATCTTCTCCCTTTAAAATTCTTATAAATAATTTCATCCTTAGCTTCTCGTTCCTTCCCACTCTGACTAGCATGTCACAATATGCCTTCAAATGTGCGTGAGGTCCCCCGTCCTGTTGAAGATATCAAACTTTGGGGGTTTATACCCTGCTGCCATATCCACATCTGGATGAATACACAAATCCTCATAGTCCAAACTTTTGCTTCCCCGGGCAACTTGGAAACTCTACATTTGCCTTCTCAGCATTTGCAACTGCTCAGATACTAACTCTTCTTCCTTACGCCTAGCTTCTCTCTCCATCTCATCATATTGATCAATCTCATAAGGCACCCTGACCGTGACAGGTGCTGTAAAGGTAGCTTCAGAAACAACATATACAGAGGGAACATACCGCTCATGGGTGGCGGCATGTGCCACATGTATGTGCTGGTTAGTGGTGAAAGTGACTCTGTCATGAGGAGGGGTAGTTGCATTAGTAGTAATAGGCGGGTTCTGTGATGTCTGAGTGCATTGTGGTACATAATGAGTGTGAATAGGGGGATTTGGAGGGTTAGTGGGGGTTACTGCAGGTATGACTTGAGTGGTGGGAGTTGAAGTTGGGGTGTTGTTGTTTTGGCGTGATGTGGAAGGAAAGTGATTTAGAAATGAATCCAAAGAAGGGAACCTAGGTGGTTTAGGAAGTGTTGTCACGACCAGGTGCGCCATATCTCTAATATGATGCACCTCCTCTCTTAAGGACTCCATTTCCTGGGCCATCCTGGCCACGTGTTCATCATTCCTAGTGTTGTCTTTTTCCCCCTGATCGCTCCGGGCTGTTGGGTATGACCAGAGTATGTTCAGTTGGATCTTCTGTAGCTGACATCATTCCCTTTGACTTTAAATTGTATGGTGGTTCCGCCAGTTTTGGTCGACACAAACCAACTTTCTTTTTTTTTGGGGATAATAATAGAGCAAAAGAAAAATAAGAAGAAATAAAAGTAAAGGAACAAGAGTCAGTTTCTTCATTTATGCGAGTAGGAAATCACATAGAGCAGATAATTTGTGTATGACAACTAGCGCATTCCTAGAATTTGCGGAGACCTCTCATTGCTAAAGGTAGGCCTAATTTGCAGATATTTGACAGACATTGAGACTTGACACATTTAGATCCAAAGCAATTTGTTTTCATTGATAATTTGGACTGGTACAAGTAGGAACAAGGGTTACATCATTGTTTCATAGAACTGCGTGGGTTTGGACAACTCGCCCTTTTGGAAAGTAAAAGAGAAAACTAGGGGTAAAGGTACAAAGTAGGAAAGAGGGGAAATCAACCAACTCTAATAACCATCCCCTGAGTCGTTTCCCGTGTCCTTCTCTTCTTCTGGCTCGTCTTCCGGATCCTCCTCCGGGTCTTCCTCAAACTCTTCATCATCATCGTTGAATTTAGACTTTTCCTCCCGATCTTCTTCTGGCTTTGTGCTGGACTCTATCTAGATACACTCCACTACCCAATCATCCTCTTCAGCTGGAGGCAACATATGGTCAATGGATCCTGGTACCACCTGACTATGCATTGAAGTGGTCACAAGATAATGCGGCAGGATCTCATGGTAAATCTGCAAGCAACCATGGCGTCCGCTAACCAGGCTTTATCTTCTCTACTTGGGCAGGCCAGTTCTTCTTCTTCTTTTTATTCTTCTTCTGCTGATCATATTGTTGATGCTCACGAAGTAGTCGATAGTGGCCTCTCACTGGAAGAAGTGTTCAGCAGCCCAGATCTGAAGTAGCAGGTTACAACCTTTAAAGAAATCGTACCCTCGTGCACATGCAGATAAAGCTCTCAGCATCTCGGCCAACACCATCAGTACCAGAGTAGCTTGAAGATTGCCGCAGAAGGTTGCCATGACCACTGGTAGCAGGTTGATGTTGATACGTCCCCTTCGCTATGGGAAGACCAATAATCCCAATAGTGCCATTGCAAAAGTTATAGGCTTGAGACTCTCCCACGTCGCCTGGTAACATTAAAACTCCCCTAAATACCATTCAAAGCTTTCACTGTGCCCAAATTTGTCGAACATCTGGTCGAGGCTCACCCATTCGTCCTGAATAATTCTGAGGCTTCTATTGTTGGTAAGACCTAAGGCATCCAA